CCAGTTTGCTTTGTCTGGTTACTTGGATAAATTCCCAACAGCGGTAGGGCGTTTGCCTTGCACGCAGCCAACATGGCCGACCTGAGTTCGATTCCTCCGCCCCTCTCAGAGAGCCCGGCAAGCTACTGAGAGTATCTCGCCCGCACAGCAGAGCCTGGCAAGCTCCCCGTGACATATTCAATATGCCAAACACAGTAACAACAAAGTCTCCAATGGAGACATTACTGGGCCCGCTTGAGCAAATCGATGATCAACGGGAGGGCCTCAGTTTCAGTCATTGAGATTTAAGAGAAAGAAAGTCTAATGTGTTCTTAGAATTAGTCTGCTTCTGAATAAAAGGAGATAAAGAAAATTCATTTCTATTTTTACTTGGTTGGACTTGATAGTAAAGTAGGAGCCACAGTATATCCAAAAATAGACCTGAGTCTTAAATGCTGGTCCACTGAACTACTCAAAGACTGACTGGTAGAACCCAATAGCATCAAGGCCTCCTGTGGTAACTGTCTTTATGGTATGTTTTCCTATGTCAGAAAAGGAAGGTGGTGATTTCAAGTCTTTTCAGGGAAAATGAAATTTAACAGAAATTTAAATTTAAACAAAATTTAACACAAATTTGTCTTGTAAAATCAGCACAACTGAGAGGGCTGGAGCAATAGCACAGGGCATTTGCCTTGCAGGCGGCTGACCCAGGTTCAATCCCCAGCATCCCATATGGTCCCCAAGCACTGCCAGGAGTAATTCCTGACTTCATGAGCCAGGAGTAACCCCAGTGCAATGCCAGCTGTGACCCAAAAAAGCAAAAAAAAAAAAAATCAGCACAACTGAGATATAACAGGGTTGGGGGGGGGGGTAATGGAGTTGTGCTCCCACATGGCACCGGGGTAAAGGGAGGTGCTCAGCATTCTTGACCAACTGGACTGAACTGATTGTTCAATGCCAGGACCTGAGGATGTGATTCTGAGATGACTTTGTGGTGCTGGGGAACACCTGGGCGATCCTGGCAGTGCTCAGGGGCTTTCAGGGTTATACCTGATGTTTGAGGATCAAACTGGGCTTACTGCATGCAAGGCTTGTCCCTTTTCCCCTATACTATCTGGTCTCTGAAATAGACCAATTTGTCTCAGATCCTTTCTGGAACACTTTTTGGAATAATGACTCCACATGATTTTTGTCTTGTCCAGTTGATACGTCAAAGATATCACTCATTCATTCAGAAAATCAATGTCTATGGCACCGAGGGCCTGGGAAGAGCCAGCACCTTCATGTGCTAAAGGGAAGCACTAAAGGGAAAACACAAGCTAGAGTCTCTGCTTTCCCCAAGACACACATGAAATGCATTCTTCCGGGAGGAATAATAATAGCTGAGACTAGTGCTGCCAAAAGGGTCCAGAATGATGGGGATACAGCAATCGTCAGAGAAGCCATCCCCAGGGAGGAACAGGCAAATGAAATCATCATCTCTCCTGAGATGACTTCAAGGCTGTTTAGAATTCTTCCACTGAGAGCAATAAAGGCTGGCAAGGAGGAAACTCCAAGAAATGTTAGAAAATAGACATGATGTTAACTTATTGATTAGATGGTGTGGAAGCGTATGGTGGGAATAAGGATTGCAGGTCGCTTCCTGAGTTACTGGTGGGTGATGCATACATTAGCGTGGACCCTGTTCTCTGCATTAGAACCCTCCCAAATGTAACTGAAGCTCTCCACCTTCTCCCCGGCCCCGGGGGGAAGCCCCACCAGGATGGTGTATTCATAATCCATTGGCATTGCCCTGCCCTTATGATTTGCTTCAGCTAAGAGAACAAAGCAGCAGTGATGGTCTCAGGATGCCTTTGCCACTTGTGCTCTTTCTTGGAGCCTTGCTCAGCCACCCCACAAAGGAGCACTGGACAGGTTGCTGATGGAGGGGGGGAGAGGTGAGAGGGGGGCATGTGACTCATTCATTGCCTGGCTCACTAACAGGTAACTGCCAGCAGATGCCATCTTGAGGCAGCCAGCGCCCCCACCTGTCCCCACACCCCCAGCGCTCTTCAAATGTTCCTTGCCTGGATCAGGTTAACTGTCCCCACTGACCTCTGCTTTTATTTGTGCAACTTCAAAGGACTGTAATTTTGTCGGGGTTGGTGCAGCAAGAGTGAAGTGGGCCACCTAGGATAGAGAAAGGGTGACTTAAAGCAGAGCTGCCTAACTGGGCATGAGAAGCTAGAGTGAGGCAGACAGAAGCATTCAGGTTCTCTAATCAGGGTTCTGCTTTGTCATGCTGGGCTCCAAACCCAAAGATCGAGCCATCTCTCCTGTGTCTTCTGCCTCTTACTCTCGCAGCCCCCTTAACTCCACCTGCACCTTGAAATAAGCACTTGAACCCCGTCGCTGAGGAGCACAGCACAGTATTAACATGGAGAATGTGTCCCGAGCCAGAACTCCCAACTCATATTCCATCACTTATTGCCAGTTTAGCAATAAGTTACCTCAACTAGTGCCTGCAGTAAGAAACTGGGTTGGGAGGTTGAGCCACAAACAGCTGCTGTCCCCAGAGAGCCTTCCACATCTGGAACAAAGCCACAGCAATTCCTGGCTCTTTCACCTCTGCTCCCTCCTCCTCATTATCACCCCTCAGCATCTTTCTCCCTCCTCTTACTTCCGCCTCTCCCTCCCTCAGGACGTATTTGAAGGCAAAGCAGGCACTTAGATCCTGCTGCTAGCCCTCTGGTGGTTGCAGAGACATTCGAATGTGATTTCATTTTTCATTTCTTCCTTTTACGCACACAAGGCAGAGTGCTCTCAGAATACACACAGGCACATGAACACATGGTGTAGCATACGCACACAAACACATACACAAATACACACATAAACACAGAGTATACTGCTACCAGGACACATACACACACATGGTACAGTGCTCCCAGGACACACACCCAACACATATACACCCTGCAGTGCTCCCAACACATATACACCCTGCACCATGCTCCCAGCACACACACACACACACACACACACACACCGCACAGTGCTACCAGCACAAATACATACACAACACTCCCAGCACACACATACATACATACACACATACACACGGTACGGTGCTCCCAGCACACACACACTCACCCACCCACACACCACACAGTGGTACCAGGATACACATATACACACACACCCCACAGGACACCCAGCATAAACATATAATACACCACAAAGCACTCCCAGCACACACACACACACACACACACCCCTCTCAGCACTCCCAACACACAGCCCGCACAGTTCTCATACACATACCACAGCACTCCCAGCACACACACACAGACTGCACATATACACCACACACCACACTCCTGGCACACACACACCACACAGCACTTTCAACACACACATACACACATGCATAGCACACAGACCCTACATACACACCACACACAGCGCTCCCAGCACACTAACACACCACACAGCACTTTCAACACACACATACACACATGCATAGCACAGAGACCCTACATACACACCACACACAGCGCTCCCAGCACACTAACACACCACACAGCACTCTTAACACACACATGCGTGCACAGAGATTCCACATGCACATCCCACATAGCACTCCCAACATACACATCACATAATACTCCCAGCACACACACACCCCAACAGCGCTCCCAACACACACACACATACCACAGCTCTCCCAGAGCACACACACACACACCACGCACATTCCATACAGTGCTCCCGGCACACACACAGCTGCAGGCACACGCATACACACAGATACACACATACACACATATACGTACCCTATACAGTGCTACCAGGATACACACACATCACACAGCACACACACAGTACAGTGCTCCCAGGACACACACCCACTACAGTGCTCCCAGCACACATACACACTCATCCACACACACCACACAGTGGTACCAGGATACACATATACACACACCTCACAGCACTCCCAACACTCAGCCCGCAGTTCTCACATACACACACACACACACACACCACACAGAACTCTCAACACACATACACACAGAGACCCCATATGTACAACCTGCACAGCACTTCCAACACACACAAACACACACACCCCACAGTGCTCCCAGCACATACACACACAGACACCCCAAACGGCGTTCCCAACATGCATATCACAAAGCTCTCCCAGCACACACACACACACACACACACACACACAACGCACATTCCGCACAGTGCTCCCGGCACACACACAGATGCGGGCACACGCATGCACACACAGACACACAAACACATACCCTGTACAGTGCTACCAGGATACACACACACCACACAGTACAGTGCTCCCAGGACACACACCCACTTCAGTGCTCCCAGCACACACACACACTCACCCACACACACATCACACAGTGGTACCAGGATACACATATATACACACACTTCACAGCACTCCCAACACTCAGTCTGCAGTTCTCACACACCCACACAAGACCCCACATAAGCACCCTGTACAGCGCTCCTGGCACACACACCACACAGCTCTCTCAACACACACAAACACACACGCACAGAGACCCCCATACGCACTCCCTGCACAGCACTCCCAACACACACACACACACACACACACACACACACACCACAGCGCTCCCAGCACATACACACACAGATACCCCGAACAGCGTTCCCAACACCCACATCACATAGGTCTCTCAGCACACAGCACACACACACACACACACACACACACCACAGCGCTCCCAGCACATACACACACAGATACCCCGAACAGCGTTCCCAACACCCACATCACATAGCTCTCTCAGCACACAGCACACACACACACACACACACACACACATACACACACGCGCGCGCGCGCGCGCGCGCACACACACAAACACACAACTCTCCCGAACGGAGGGGGCGCCCTGCCCCGCCTGTCTCACCGCTCGGGAAGCGGCGGCAGGGGTGGAGCCTGCGGTGGCCACGCCCCCGGCGGGCAGCGCTCTTTAAAAGGTGCCGCGGAGCTCGGGAACCCGCCGCCTCGGTCCTTGGTCCCCGCGCTCGGTCCTCGTTCCTCGCTCGCGCGCTCCGTGGCTGCGGCACCAGCTGGGACGGAGGCTGCGGCGGGACGCGCTCCATGCGGCCGCTCACCATGTCCGGGCACTTTCTGCTCGCGCCCATCCCCGAGTCCTCCCCCTCCGACTACCCCCTGCCCAAGGACATCAAACTGGCTGTGCTGGGCGCCGGGCGCGTGGGCAAGAGCGGTGAGTGCGGCGCGGGCTGCCACCCGCTCCAGGTCCCGCCGAGCCTCTCCCGCGCCCTCCTGGCTCCGCGCTGCCGCCCTGGAGCGCCGGCCGTGGACTATCGCGGCGGGGGCACCTGTGGGACAAGCGGGTCCACTGACTGACCCGCAGTCGCGCCCCCGGTGGCCCCGGGGTCGGCTTTGCAGAGTGCTTGGGTGCGGGCAGCGCCACGCGGCGCCGTCATCCAACCCTCCCTCCGTTGCCCCGAAGGTGGGGAGGTCTCGGTCCCCAGAGTCCCAGCGTTGGGGCTCAATCTCCTGGTTTCCTTTTCAGCAATGATTGTGCGCTTCCTGACCAAGAGGTTCATCGGCGACTACGAGCCCAATACAGGTTAGAATCATTGCGTGCTGCAGGCTCGCGCGTGCTTGCTCCTCGGGATGAGCCCGAGATTGTAAAAGCAAACTGTCCTTCGTTCTCCAGGCAAGTTGTACTCGCGGCTTGTGTACGTGGAGGGAGACCAGCTGTCCCTGCAAATCCAGGACACCCCGGGGACCTTCCAGGTAAGGAGAGCCCGGAGCGAGCTGCACGGTCACTTCCAGACAGACCCCTGGGCCGAGGAGTGCATGACTGAGTCCCAAATAGCCTGCCGCGCTTTCTGCTCTGGGATGTAAAAGTGGATTGGTGGATGGGTGGAGACGCTTTGCTTCTAGTTTGCAAGCCTGGCCGGGCGCCACTCCTCAGCCCTCTCTGCTGCTTTCAGAACTCCGCGGAGAAGGCAGTAACCAAACTCGATGGGACTCTGGCCAGGGGCCTCTCCTGTAGCTAAAGTACTTCTGTTTCTAGCTGACAACAACCACCCGGCCCCCCTACACCCCCCCCCCCCCCCATCTTTGCCTTCAGAGCACCTCTAGCAAGCAAACAGTGAGGAATGTGCCTTGATTAACAGTTATAATTTCACTCCCGTCTGGGGGAGGAAAGGGCTTGTGGAAGAACAGAAAGAAGGAATTTGTTTCAGTGACATTCTCAAGTAGGGCATGCTAAAAATAATTTTTAATGCGTTTGGGAATAGATGAATTTTCTTGGCTCGTTTTCAGAGTTTTGTTGATTCGGAGTTAGTTCCTTGCTAATTGCGCCATTCTGCGCTGCAACTTCTCACTGAACTCGTTCCTACTGATCCCCCGCTCGGCGTCCAGGGCATCAGGCCAAGGTTTAAAAGGAATAACATGTCATAAAGCCACCCAGTCAGGGAGCTGGCCCGAGAATTTTTCCTTTCTCCATCAGAAGCCGCCTTCTGTAGAATCCAGGTCGATCTGAGAATGCTGCCTAGCGATTTCTTTCTTTCAAGATGACTTTGATGCTATGTTGAGGCATCTCCCACTGAGTACCTCTTTGATCCTCTACCTGGTTTTTTGTATTGTTTTGGGTTTTGGGTCACCTGCTATGCTCGGCGTACTCCTGGCTCTGTGCTCAGGGATCACTCCTGGCAAGCTTGGGAGACCATATGGGGTGCTGGGAATGGAACTTGGGTTGGCCGGGTGCAAGGTGAGTGCCCTACCCACTGTACTATCACTCTAACCGCAGTCCTCTACCCGTTTTTATCTTTCTTAGGGCCACGATAACCTCCCTCAGGGAATGGACTCACTGTCCAAGTATGTGCAGTGGGCAGAGGGCTTTCTGCTGGTCTATTCTATCACAGACTATAACAGCTACCAGTCCATCCGGCCCCTTTACCAACACATTCGGAAGGTCCACCCGGACTCCAGAGCCCCGGTCATCATCGTGGGCAACAAGGGTGACCTTCTGCATGCCCGCCAGGTGCAGACGTATGAAGGCATTCAATTGGCCAACGACCTGGGCAGCCTGTTCCTGGAAATTTCCACCAGCGAGAACTATGAGGATGTCTGCGATGTGTTTCAGCATCTCTGCAAAGAAGTGAGCAAGCTGCACAGCCTCGCCTCTGAGAGGAGGAGAGCCTCCATTCTTCCCCGGCCGCGCTCCCCCAACATGCAGGATCTGAAGCGGCGCTTCAAGCAGGCTCTGACGTCCAAAAGCAAAACTCCGCCCACCCTGGGCTGAGCGCGCCTTGGTCCCTCAGACTGGACTCTCCCTTTCCCTTCCTATTTTATTTGTACATTTGTTGTTGTTGTTTGGGGATTACACCCAGGGTGCTCAGGGACTACTCCCAGCATGTTGCCAGGTGATGGAGGGGTCACTCCCTGAAGAGTTTAGGGAATGCACCATGCTGGGGTTGGAACCCAAACCCAGACTCTGGCATGCAAAGCATGCACTCCAACCCTTGAGCTATCTATCTCCCGGCCTGTGGGGGTGTCCCTTTTTAATCATCCATTCAGAGTTTATTTTTATACAAACTTGGTTATCAAATGTCTGTGCATTTCTGAACAGAGTGGTTGCCTAGAAGTCTGATACCGTTGACGTTTTTAAATGGAAGAATATTGTTTTTTTCTTTCTTTTTTTTTTTTTTTTTACTGTAACTGTGAGCCACTTTTCCATTAAAGGCAAAATGGCAACATTGCTCCCTGTTTTTTAAATGTCTTTTTATAGCAGTCACCCTTGCACCAGCGCCCAGACGGCTCCATGCTTGCCCTCAGTGTGAACTCTGGTTGGTGTCTTGTGTAGTGAGGGGTTTATGTAGTGGGAATTTGTCCTGGATGGAAGTATGTGGAGAAGGAATGGGATTCAAATAAGTGCAGATGTCTCTAAGTCAGGGCAGTTTGCCACCTGCATGAAATTGATGCCACATGATTGTCATGGGAAGGGACTCCTATGCCAATGCTGAGAAATGACAAATATGAATAACATTTTTATTTTATTTTTTGGTGTGAATGGAAGTTCAATCTCTTATTTGAAAAAAAAAAAAGGAAAGCAATCCTTTCCCAGTATGCTTGTGTTGTCCTACCATCCAGGAGTTGCCTCAGATTTCTCTTCCCTTTTTTTCTGTGGGGATAGGGATGATGAGCATTGGGGCAACACCCAGCTGTGTTCAGGCCTTATTCCTGTGCTCAAGGATCACTCTGGTGGTGTTGGGGGAAATATGCAAAGGATGGGATCAAATAGAGTCAGCGCTGTGCAATGCAAGTACTTTGCCCTCTGTACTATCTCTCTGGCCTTCTTCCCTGTTTCCCTGACCCTCACATCCCAGAGGAACCCTGTTCTGTTCGTTCTTTCTCCTTTTTCTCTCAAGCAGCATTCTGCCTCAATTTACGCTAGTAGTGGCAGACAAGATTCTAGATGATCCCTGATTTCTTGGCTTAAGGATGCCACACCTCTACTTCTGTCTTTTCACTGAGACAACTTCACTAAAACCATCCCTCATTTCTTGAAAAAAACTCATTCTGGTTAGAATACAAGTAAAACATGCCAGTCGTAACCTCCCAACACAGGTACCTGGCAGTCTGTTCAGGCAGAAGAATTTCCCTTTGTCAGATTCCCTTGAGTCTCCCTGCTCTAGTGTTATTCGTTGGTCCTTGCCTATTTTCTTCTCTAGTTTTCCCCTAATGGATAGCCAGCTCATCTTTTTTTTTTTTCTTTTTGGGTCACATCTGGTGATGCACAGGGATTACTCCTGGCTCTGCACTTAGGAATTACTCCTGGTGGTGCTCAGGGGACCATATGGGATGCTGGGAATCAAATCCGGGTCGGCCGCGTGCAAGGCAAATGCCGTACCTGCTGTGCTATCGCTCCAGTCCTGCAGCTCATCTTTTTTTTTTTTTTTTTAAATTAGGATTTTGCTTTTGCTCAGCTTTTCCTGGCTCTGCACTCAGGGATCACTCCTGGCAAGGCTCTGGGATGCTGGGGATCAAACCCAGGTCAGCCTCATGCAAGGCAAGCACTATACCTACCTGTTATACTATGACTCCAGCCCCTAGGTTATCTTTTAAAAAAAATTTAAGAGGGTATTTTGTGGAGTGGGGCCACAGTTGGTTGTGTTCATGGAGTACTCCTGCCTGCGCTTAAGTATCATTCCTGGTGTTCAAGGCTCTATTTGTGGATGTTACATGCCCTAACTTCTGTCCTATCTCTCAGGCCCAATTTTAAGTTCTACCTAACATCTCAAACTTACATAGATTTTAGGTGTGTGTGATTACAAATCAACCTCTGTATTCAGCTGTCCAAAGGAAGTTCTTTCTATCATCAGCCATCCTTGTTTCCTGCTAAGCATCTCAACATGGATATGTTAACAAGAGAACAAGGATTGGCTGAGGCGATAGCACAGCAGGTAGGGTGCTTGCCTTGCACGCGGCCAACCCAGGTTCGATTCCCAGCATCCCATATGGTCCCCCAAGCACCGCCAGGAGTGATTCCTGAGTGCATGAGCCAGGAGTAACCCACCGGGTATGACTCAAAAAGCAAAATAAATAAATACATAAATAAATAAAGAGAGAATAAAGAGTCAGATTTCTCCCCAGTGCCAAGGAAGCAAGGTGGCTCTCTCTCCAGGAGAGATTGTTGTTAATCTCAGTCAAACAGCAGCCCACAGGAGGGTTAAGTAATAATGGAAAAGTTAAAGAACATGAAATGAGGCGCATCCCAAGACAGCCTCAGATTAAGAGGGGAATGGAAAGGACAGGAAGTGCCCTAGAGCATGAGTCTGCACGGGGTTCCTCAGGGGTCAGAGGGTGAGTCATGGGACAATTCTAAAGGGAGCAACAGCCTCCAGGGGCTCCAGTGGGCTGGAGTCAAGCAGAGAGAACTCTGAGACGCCTGTTCACTCCACATCGTCTGCCTCTTCCTCGCATCACCAATCCCTGACTTCCTGACCATTGAGCTTGCTTTACAGTTTCTCCTCCCAGACCTGGTCAGAATAGGACCTGGCTCCTTGCTCACAGGAGCCCCAGAGCCTCCTTTCTGTTCTAAGCATCTTGTTGAGGGAAGTGCGGGTCTCCTGGGAAACAACTGGGAGGTGCCTGGGATGTTGCCCCGGAGCTGGGAGAGGAAAGCAAAGGCGGAAGTGGAGGGAAGAAGTTGCTCCGATGGGAAGACTTGCAGAGGTGCCATGAAACTAACTAAGCTCAGGCTGAGTTCGGAGCCAACCTTCTCCCCCAGGAACAAGGAGGGCAGAGCTGTAGGGGTCCTGGCAGAAGCAGACCCCTACCAAACACCGGACAGAACATCGACCACGGGCAAGTGTAGAGGGGAGAACATCTAACTTTTCATCTGACACATGTCATCATCAAAGTTAGGATTTGACTTTACTTTTCTGGAGGTGGTAGAAGTTGAGGAGGCGTCCTGACCGCTGCTCATCTGCTCTCTGGCCAGGCTCTGTTTGAGTTCGCCTCTAAATCTCCAGAGTGATTTAATTAAAGTGCTGCCTATCAGTGTGGTTTCTGGGGAAGTGGACAGAATCCAAATGACTAACTTGTACATCCTGCAAATGTTCTGTACTTCTCAGGCAAGTCATGGAAAGCAAACTTAAATCACGGAAAAAAATAAATCAATTTCAACAGAGATTAAAACGAATTTGTTTTTGCTTGTGTCAAGATGAAGGGCACAAGAGAAGTGCTGAAGTTGGTTGATATCTATCTGTTCCGAGAACCCACCACAGCTGGGCAAGGTGGCAGCGAACAAAAGAGCAAATAGAAAAGAAAATGACAGTTTCATTGTGATTTTTAGGCATGAATTGCTCTATTGTTCTTTGAAGGTGTTGTAATTTCAGCCTCTCATCATGCCACCAATTCAAATTACAATGCCAAGAAATTTTGTGTGATCAGTAATTTATTCTCATCATTTGATCTTTCTCCAAGATGTGGAGTATTTTGGAAAACTGTTTAAAATTAGTCTCAAGTTAACTTTGACAACCAGTAAGGAAGACTTGATGGAATAGAAGGATTTATTTTCCAAACACTGTTGTGTTCTAGGGAAAAACAACTGCTGTAGGGGATGATTAGAACAATTTTCAGCATAACAGGGTAGAAATTTGTTCTTTTCCCAATAGAAAACCTTTATCATTAGTCAGAGATGGCCCCTGTTCATCTTTTAAACCTGTGAGTGTCCAGTAAAAGCAGCATCCTTGGGGGCTGGAGGAATAATACAGTGGGTAGGACACTTTTCTTGAATGCAGACAACTGGGTTCAGTCCTTGGTATCCCATCTGGTCCCCAAGATCCAATAGGAGTAATTTCTGAGCTCAGAACCAGGAATAACCCCTCAACCTTGCCGGGTGTGCTCGTCCTTTATGCCCTACCGAGGTCATGAGTTGCCCCCCACAAGCGGCTCTCTGGCATGGCCATGGCTCCAGAGGCAAAAGGACTTAGTCCAGAGCCCAGCAGCTTGCAGAAGAAAAGTGAATGGACCATGCGTTAAACTACGGCGCCATGCCTTCCCCTGGAGGGAAAGGGTGTTGCTCCCTTCCGCCTTTTTCCCCCCTGGCAGCAAGGTGGCTGCCGCCTCAGAGTTTATGGGAAAGCCAGGTATGAGCTGGCGGTGATGGGGCAACTGCAGTCTCATGGGAAGCGGGGGGGCGGTACCGGCATGTCCTTCACGCCCTACTGAGGTCACGAGTTACCCCCCACGAGTAGCTCTCCGGCACAGCCATAGTACCAGACGCACAGAAACCAATCTCATAATTATCTGGCTCTTTGCAGAAATCCAAAATCGTGGCCACGTGACATTATATGATTCTCATAACCAGCTATAGAAAACAAAGTACTTCACAATGCCTTTTCAGCAATTCTGATTGTTTGGGGGGAAATTCTAAACAATAATGGTGCATCTTTTGTTGAAATAATGAATGTAATCAATGTAGAGAAGAGTTAAGTAGAAATCATCTGCCTCACAGGCATTTGGAGGGGTGGGAGGGGGGGTTTACTGGGGTTCTTGGTGGTGAAAAATGAGTACTGGTGAAGGGAAAGGTGTTTGATCATTGTATGACAGAGACTTAAACCTGAAAGCTTAGTAACTTTTCCCACAGTGATTCAATAAATAAATATAAAAAAAAAAATAAATAAATAAAATTAAAGTGGAGTTCATGCCCAATTCAATCAGCTAATCAGTGGCTGAATAAATAGCAGTACTCCTACAAAAAAAAAATATTGCCGGGTGTGGCCCAATAACAAACAAACAAAAATACTGGAAATATGGGCTAAGCTGAACTATTAGAGAAATGAGGATGTCCTTAAGTTATTTTTGTAAAAGTATAATGATGTATATTAAATATTTTGAGTTCTCTTATCAAATAGTCAGAACAAACCCTCCCTCTCTCCCCCATTTTTTGTGATTTTGGGTCACATCTATTCATGAAGCAGCTTGTGCTCAGGGGACCATGTGGGGTCCTGGGGATTGAACCCAGGCATGCAAGGAAAATGCCCTACCCATCGTACTATCTCTTTGATCCCTATTGGTATTTTGTTAACTGGAAAGTGAATGTTCTCTAAAGAAGGGCTACCTGAACAAAATCATCATTATTGTATTTGGCTTT